GTTTTATCGACCCAGTTGATAATTTAGTGGTGTATTCTTAAAAGAGACGGTTTTTTTCGACCGAGTTGATAATTTAATCGGCCACCGGCCGTAGAGTTTCTAAGCTGATGTTCCAAGCTGACTTAATTATCTACTTGAGAACCTACTCAAAGATTAAATCTATATTATCATTATCGTGTAACCATCTGATCAAATTGAATCAAATTTATGAACCCAAACAGGTGCTATAATAACAATTTTATTAAAAATATATGTATAAATATCTAGCTATGATAGAAAGTTTGACAAACGACTTTCTTTGATGTACTTAATACACATACACCCTGTACACGTGAAGAGGGACTCGTGACCGCAATTACGATTTGTCATTGTGTTTGTCCATATACCTGTTGAAAGCGCCATTATTTGTGCCAAAGGCAAAAACAAAAGCGCGCCAGTTTGATTACTTGTTTGGTTCAAGGGAGTAACAATTTCACTTAAAATAAACTGTCTCAGAAAAGCAAATCGATCGATTTCATCGCTCTCGCGATAAGAAGAGGGCAGTGAAAGAAACTTTGTAGCAATATATTTGAAAGCCTATTTGGAAACTCTAGCAGTAGACACACATTCCATCGAAGGCTTTTCTTTTTACAACTCTGTTTTTTTATCCCACGGAACGGGTGCAGAGAGGGTTATGGACGGCGAGGGTTCGTCTTCGTCACAACCCAGTCTTTTAAGGATCAGGGTTTCGTGAACTTTAAGAAACCATGTAACTTTTACAAAAGAGGTAGTCCTTGAAGGAAGAGGTAGTTGACGCAAAAAATACTTATATTCTGTGAAATTCAAACGTCATTCAATAATGGTGACGTTATGACTGAGCGCAAGATTGAGCAAATTAACCTGTGCCTTCGTCTACAAAGTAAAAACAAAGAAGAGGTCAGAATGTGGCACGTTGAACAGTTGAAACTGTATTATTATAGTTATTTGTATTATCCTGGTCATTTCTACTTTCTCTATCACATTTCTCACTCTGCTGTTCACAATATTATGTTAATTTGTACGTAAATATGAGGTTGTCCACTGGCAGCTGTTCCACTGAGCCTTGTATTATATTTTTTCCTACAATACTCTGTCACGGCCCAGATTTGAGGCAGGTTATTTGTCGTCCTAATCCTTTTGGCCTCCATAACTCATCAGAAGAGTTCCCAGACTTTTAAGCGCTCTGAAATGACGTTTCTAATCAGGTCACATCCAGGCAGTCAAACATAAAGTGTTAGCGCATTTAGGAGTAGCAATCCTGTGCTACATACGGTAACAGGCGCTGCCACTGACGTCATGATAGGAGATACATCATTACTGAGATCCTCTCCCACACTCTCAGTTATATTTTCACTGAAAAAGAAATTTTAACATGATTTAGGAATCTGACTTGACCAAACGATTGTAAACATCCGCCGATAACGAATGTGAAAGTGGCCATACCCTTTGCCAGCAAAGGATTTATTCAATAAATATCAGTCCGCTACATACCGTTTTTCTGCTGGTGTTTTCGTAACTTTGAGCACCAGCTTCACACGACTAAAATCTGGTCTTTTCCTTCTTCTTCTCGAACATCTTCTTCTATGTCTCTTTCGACATTTTCTGCGTCTTTTTTTTTTTCTCGTTCCAGGATTTGTAACCCGGAGTGCTTTGTAACTGCAAGAGAAAGCAACAAAAATGTTACTCTTAACTCCGGGGAGAGACCATCAAAAAAGTTATGGGGGGAGATTCTGAAAGATGCAAGCACTGTTTTAGTACACATTGGGTAAAAATCTGTTTTGTTTGTTTATTTTGGACAGCTTTCTCAAAAAGCTAAATTTAGGACGTTTTTATGTTTAGCAAGATTCTTGTTTTGAAACGACTTGAGTAGAACTCACCTCAGTTATATGAGAGTGAGAGATGGACTAATTCAGAGAAACAAATTAGTCGATACAAAGTCTTCAAAAATGCCTACGAGAACAACCATCTAGAAACTGAAAAAGGCAGAGTTAATCACAGATGACAATGATCCTAGCAGCTTGTCAGTGTCCAGTTTAAGAGCAGTCCACCCAACATTTGCCTTTAAAAGCACACACAACCCACAATTCCCCTATTGGCTCCGACGAAGGGCTAACGCTCGAAACGTCAGCTATTATAATCGTAACGGTGGCCAATTTACCATTTCAACTTTGTTGATAAATTCAAATTATTTGAAAGTTAGTTTGTTTCTGATGGAAAGTGGTCATTTGTGGAACTTCACACTTCCTTACGTTTAAATCTATAGCTGAGAGAGACTCTGTACAACTNATACTGACAATGATAACGATAAGGCTGACAAAACACGGCGATACTGATAATGATGACGATATGGATGACAAAATCGATCATGATAATGACAACGATACGGATGAAAAAATCGATAATGAAGATGATAACGTTAAGGATGACAAAACCCGCTGATACTGATAATAATGATACGGATGACAGTACCAATGTTGATAATGATAACGATGAGGATGACAAAATCGAGAATGATAATGAAAACGATAAGGATGACAAAAACGATAATGATAATAAAAACGATAAGGATGACAAAAACGATAATGATAATGATAACGATAAGGATGATAAAATGGATAATGATAATGATAACAATAAGGATGACAAAATTGATAATGATAGTGATATGACGTCAAAAACAACGATGACGATGGCAACAGAGATCGTGGTGATGATTATGAGGATGATAATAGCACTCACCGGCACCAAACGCAAAAAAGAAATTCCGTTCAGGATACTTGTTTAAAAGTTCGATTACTCTTTTTGCCATGCGCTCATTCCGTTTGAAAATGAGCTCCGTTCTCAAATATTGATCAATCTCTTGAGTCCTCTTCAACTCTAATTGCCTCAGTGAGAAATTGGAAGATATACTTGGCAGTCGCGTTGATTGAGTTGAGAAAAGAAAGGAGGTAAGATCTCCACAGTTATAATGATCTATGAGATCGTCTGTAGTGTACGCTAAGTGGGCTTTGCCAACTCGCAGCTTTTCTTGAAAGTTAAGTGTTTGGTTTAAAGCAAAGACCACCTACAAGACAAAGGAAATAAGTAAGAGTGTTTGAGCAGTTAAATTTTGTCGTTATTACTCCGCACAACACGAGTGATGGACAGCAGTCAGGTGACCAGGGTAAAATCTTGAGAAAAGTGTCTCTGCGGTCATAGAGATCTGTTATTATTCTCACGATAAATAGACAAACAAATGTAGCGAAGATTGAAACAAAAGAGAAGCTTACATACCTTGTATCTCTTTGAATTCTTAAATGAGATTAAAAGGATCGTCAAAAAAAAAAAAAATAAACTCGCGCATTTGTCTATCGCAATGGTAACGCCCAACAACGTGAGCTCCGCTCTTACTAATGAATGTTACTTTAGCCCAAAAAAGGACGCGTAAATGGAAACTTATGTGCTCTGGCACGCGTGCTAGATTTTATAATCCACGCAAAACCTTTTGTGCAATATAAATTTGCCTGCAGGCTGTTTAGTTTCTTACACAGTTATTTGAGGTGACTCATGCCGTTACTTTTACAGTAGGGAGCACGATCCAAATTAAGCACACCATACATGTACTTTATATTAAACCTTAAAATTCACAAAACAAAACAATGCAAGTTTTCTTGATTCTTTTCACAATACTTGTACTACCTTTTTGTTCACTGAGACATACAGTCGCCAATATACCAACCGGTCGATGAAAACAACATTTGATCTTATCTATCATCGACCAGGTTAAGTCACTTATCATTACAATGAACTAAAAACATGTTAGCAATTCATGTCACGAGATCTGACTCAGTTTATCTGGTGCCTTTACTTGTGAAGCATTGCGCATCACGCACGCTCTATAAAGAATGGTTATCTTAACTTTGCAGCTGTATAAATTGACTTGAATATGTCTATCATCTTGCCCAATAAACAAATTATCTTTTTCCATTATTTTTTTGCCCTAGGGTTTGCGATATACCGGCAAAGCATGTTAGTTTGTTGACAACTAAGGAAATGTGGCAAACTACATTTAAAAATATAAAAATACCAACTTGATACGCTCGAAAAGAGGGATGTCTTTCACTGCGTTGTATTTTTGAATTGCGGATATACCATATCGTAGTTTTTGTTTTAAATGCATTGTTACGTGACAGGAAAAAAATAACGTCCATGTTCAAACATCAACAGATAAAACAAATGTAACAGAAGCTTGAACTTTGGGTTATTAAAATGCTATTATGAGAGGCTGTCGTGTAGATGATTGTCCACATACGACACTCATACACAATTTGTGTCTCGGTTAAGAGTCATTTTAGTTCGGCACATCAAACAGAACCGCTTTTATATTAATCTCAAAGACTAAAAGGGCATATCAATAGCATTATATCAAAGAATTGTTCATACCAAAGAAACTCCAAATATTGACAGTTACTCGATGTAACTGGAAGATACAGATTAAAACTTCCCGCCCGGTGCTGGAAGATAGCTTTGTTGCGCTAGTAACAGAAAATTTTTCAAGCTAATGGACAGAGGACGTGTTTGCATATTTAATTGTGTCAATTCGATTCATACTTATTACAATTCCCTTGAAATCGCCTGCAAAAATCACTGCAAGAAGTCACGTTACAATAGGCACGCCACTCGCTAGTAGAACTCACTTCTACGTTTCGTGGTTTGGCCAGAAATGAGCTCATCGCGGTTAAAAATTAGAATTTGCAGCAATTTGAAATGACACACTCTTGATTTAATTACCACCATTGTCTATATTATAAGAAAGCCGCTTAACCAGGCTGCAACACAGACTCAACGAAAACGTGTGAAACGTTCTCCTCAGTCTATTCTCAATACGTAGTCTGCCTGGAACAAAAAATGCAAAATATCGTGGCGATCGCGGTAAGCAAATCGTTGAGGAGAAAGGCGTGATAATTAAAGACGTTTAATGACACCACAGCTGAGCCTTGTTTTCGTATCAAACCCGATAAAAGCTGCACTAAACAATCATGTAACAGATACTCCAGTCGGAGCTTGACACCGAACACCGAAAGGCAAGCCGCCTAAAACATACACGAGTGGTGATGTCAAGACATCACGACCATTTAAAGAATCTGCAAAGGATGACACAAAATCAGTGAAGTTTTCTCGCTTTTTAATGCATGAGCGCCAGTGTTTATTGTTAAAGAATGAAAACTTAATAGCTTTTGAATGCATTAACCGATGTAAAGACGGCAATTGTATTAAAGAACGATTTACGAAAAGAGACGTTTGCATTAAACACTAACTAATGTAGAAGGAGGCAGGCAGTCAGGTCAACTTCCCTGAATTGATCATCATCATATGGTGAATGATTAGCTTTGAAGTCTCATACAAAACAACTTGACCGCTAATAGACTTCCCTCGAGCAATCAGTCCTGACTAAACATTCCACAAATGCATCGTGAAACCGCTCGTAACAATACACGATTAAGAAACTTTTTCCCACTGTTTTGACAATGTAAATAACAAAGCTCAATACAAACACAAATGCTCCATTTTATGCGTCCGCACATAATGAGTAAGACAATAAGGCCTCTCAGTTCACTGATGCAATCGAAAGATTTTAACGCCACATTTGTGGGTTAATCAACCCAAAAATATTACTTACTGTAGTCATAACTTAACAAATATAAGTTGTTACATGATAATACAATTAGCTCGCGAGCCGACTCACGCAAAAGGGAAATGTAAAGAGAACGTAGCTCATAGGAGATCACGCTTCAATGAAGCGCCAGCACTACTCGAATGCACTTCAGAACACAATTTGCTCGAAGCTGTCGTCGCATGTGTTTACAAGAAATATACAACTATTGTTAATTGTCGCGTGCAATTTAACTTAAACACTGATATTGTCAGAATCAGTTAATCTATATTATACTAGTAAGCTGGATTCTACTGAGAAACATTTGACTTAAAGGAGATTTGAGAGATTATGCGATTCTCATTCAACTAACCTGTGTATCCTTTAGTGAATTAAGTGGCTGGCACTGTTCCTCTACTTCCTCTACTGCTCCCGTGAATTTCTCATTTCTGGCAGCTTCCGAGGCAAGATACTGATCCAAAACTGGTATTCCTCGATTTTTAATGTCACTTTCGGTCAGAGAATTTACCATGAGCATAATCCATATTGGTCGCTTTTTCTGCCAGTCTTTCGTCAGAAGCTGGAATATTTTGTCGGCGTAAGGCGCCATTCCTTGGTAATATTCTCCATCATTTTCTTTCAACCACATAGGGATCCTTTTCTTAATGTACCTCAAATGCCTCTGCAGGCGACGATACATACTCCGAGGTAACACGTCCTTGAGAAGTCCTCCCTTCGGCAACATTTGACATTTCCAAAGTGCGTTAACTGTAGGTTTGCTGGTCAAATCAAGTTCAAAATATACGTATTGACTTGTCTTGAAGGCTGCTTTGCTGTTTGAAGGAATGAACTCCCATACTCTTGTGTAAGGTACATGGATTGTACCGAAGAAGTAAGCCGGTGGATTTCGTTTCACTAACCATAAAAACGAGTTGAGGTTCTCTTGAAGCTGTAAACACGAGTACAAATAAAATACGCACAACGTAATTATTTTTGAAAGCACAATACAACAGTGATCTTTAAGAATTGAAGTGCACACATTAACGCACACAAGCAAGAAATCTTGAAATCTGTTACCGCGTAATTCGTGCAAGATCTTGTGGAAGGTATTCGGTCCGGTGTAGCATTGTGACTCCTGAGAGGTGACTCTGTTACCTGCAGGTAGAGAGGAGTACAAACAAGGCATGTTATGATTGGTAAGTGATGAGGTCCTAAAGTCTTAACTTGATCCATTTGTCAACTTACAACGAGTAGTAAAACCCATAAAAGGTTCGAGAAGAACGCCATCCCTTCATCCTAACCAGAGCGATTAAATCATGTGTAACTACAGGCTTAGTCAGTTTATCAGAGGTCGCAGTCATTTGGCCTTCGTAGCTTACCAACAGACAATCTTTAAATCTCGTCAGCTCCGGCTCAAGCGTTTTGCGGTCTCTACTGGGTTTAAGGAGTTGAATGCTGATTGGTTTAGCGCATTTCGTAAGTGGCGCAAAGTTAATCTTGAAGGCGGGCCGTCACAGAATACAATAGACATGTCATTAGCCGTGACAGCAAACAACCCGCCTGACAGTCGTGCGTTTAATTGGGGTGCTCACCTACAAGGCTCTGCCTGTTTGTTTGACAAAACGTGAGCTAATAAGCGATATTCTGCTTGAGTGGCACGTTGTCTCCTGACCATTTGAATATTGTCAATCTCACGTATTGATACACTGGTTTAGCGTGTTTAGCGCAGGGAATTAAGAATCAGAGATTTGTAATGTGAGTAACCGACACCTGGTGAATCTAATTCATTTCATTGCCCTGTAGCGCAGTGCGGAGGTCTCCCAAAGCATACTAATCTAAGAATGCCTCAGGAAAAAAAACTCCTATCTAAAAAATTTTTTTTCATTATTTCTATCAGTCTCTTAATCAATTAAAGGTTGTAAAACCCATTATGAGTTGTTTGGACACCTGTCTTGTTAACACCACAGGGGAGCTACAGCCATGTAGCGATTCCACGTAGTAGCAGTGACAATTTGTTTGGGTGCCACTCGGCATAGCTGCATGGAGATCAGTTAGTGAACAAGTCACTGAATTACTTTTAGCTGCATCTGACCTAGTATCCGAGACTTGATATTGCAGTTTTACAATCGTTTTCTTTAGTAACTTTTTAAAACGTGCTTTCTGTTTCGTTTTAAAATTTAAAATGAAAAATGTAAGGATCTGTACATGACTAATACAAACAGGAGACCATGGACTCCAGATTCCTGTCATAAAAATACTTTGTGGTAAGGCGTTCTTTTTTTGGTAAGAGCGCAAAACTGTCACGTCCGCCGAATTTAGCGCTGCCCCTTTACGCACTCCAACCAAAAAAATAACAGAACCGCTAGGTACGCAAAAAGAACACTTACAAGGATATTTTGTTTTACGAAGCTCCTCAAATGTCCTTGGAAGAAAAGTTTAACGCATAGGCGGATAACAGAAAACAGTCAGATCATAATTAAGACGTATTTAATGAAATATTCTTGGTATTTTCAGGTTTCATCTTCGGTATAAAATTAGAAATATCTCCATGTACGTCCCACAGTCACACGTGTTTGACTGAGACCACACGCGTGCACAGCAGTGGGGCGCTTTTCAAGACATCAAAGCTCGACTCTCTACAATAACTTGTGTATGGTGTATTGTGAATTCGTCAAACATTTAGCGGTTCTTTTTTCAAACTTCACTGAAACTGCAAAGACGGTTGGTGCCAGTCGCCTAGTAAGAATCCGCAATAATTATAAAGATTCTAAAAGCTCACTAAGCAAACGAGAATCTTTCAATTCATCAAATGAATCAAGTTAAACCAAATAAAAAACGAAGACAATTACGTGAATGAAACTGTTTAACATATGAGCCCCCCTTGGTAAGGGTGCGTGCGGAGCAGGAGATAAAGAATATGGAAGAATATTCTTACAGCGCTTGCGACTGACATTTCGAAGTGGGACGTTACACAGATCCCCGAGCGAGGTCAGGCAAACCCTGTCCATGGAATTTGTCCTATTTCAGAGCTGTTGTAGTGCGGTAACGAGATTACCAATAGGTGCTAGGCATCTATTTACGGCATCAAAGTGGTTAACAGACAATTACAGTAAAAACCCGCATACAAGAATATGCGGATTAAGAACACCCAGGCTGAAATTTGGTTAACGAGGAGCATATATATAAGAACACATTCAGCCTGAAAATTGAAAATTGTTCTTATATATAAAAACTCTTCCCTTTTCAGTTTAATAGAACAAACAGTGCCTGTAGCTTTACTGTGGTGTTGCACTAAGATCTCTGTATAAATGCTCGTAATTTCACTTGCTGTGTATAGAAAATGTACAACTGCATTTGGAATTATAAGTCTTATAATTACATGAAAAATATGCTCGGTTGTGCAATTTATTTTCTAATGTTGTGTGTCTCAAGTTTAATTTTATCTCAGTCATGTATTTCATCACAGTTAGTAAATCCCTTACATACTTTTAGAAGTAAAAAATTAAGAACTCTTGGGAACACTTTCAGGCTGATTTCACCTAAAATACCCGATATATAAGAACCCAATCAGCCTGAACCCCGGAAATTGGGTGTTCTTGTATGCGGGTTTTTACTGTACACCTTCCTGCTTTGGAATTAATCGGCTGTACAGCAGACTATACCGTCGTTTCGTACAGCAGGGACAAGTTCATAACGAGATAAAAAGCTAAAAATAAGCTTTTGAACCAGACAAAAACAAACTAGGTTTGATTACCTGCTAAAAGGGACACCGAAGTGTAAAGGAAAATTTTTTTGTCAAATCTAACATCAATATTCTCCGTCTTGGGCTCTAAAACCTCATGTTGAAAAAAGTGTAGGAACAGTTAGGGTTATATCGTGTCCAAACTACCCACAAACCAAATAAGTGTTTGAATAATTGTAAATCATTACCTCTGGGCAAATGGAGCTTTGGTTGGGGGGAGGTGGTGTGGAGGGCAGGAGGGGGGCAGGGGAGGGAGGAATAATCCGAGCTAAGTTTTGAATTTCATCCCCTCTGAGACACAGTCTTCATATGAAGTGAACATAACCTACATCATAAAAGGAGGTAAAAGTGGAAATTAACGTTCCTCTGTGAGCTTGGTAAATATTCTCACTGCTAATTTTTGTCTATAATCTATAATCCTTCTTTCCAGAGTCAATATCTGAGTAGCTATCTTTAAGTTTCCAAATAAGTTTAATAAAATAGACCACTTTGATAAATGGCTGCCAGATTTATATTCTTTTGTTTAAATTTAAATTAGCCCTTCTGGCCTCGTTCTCCAGAATAAAATTCAAAAGAATACATTATCTCAAGCAAGACCAGAAGGGCTAATTTAAATTTAAACAAAAGAATATTAATCCAGCAGCCATTTATGAAAGTGGTCTATAACAGACCCTTGAAGAGCTTACTTCGACAATATCAGTACTTTAATACAATAAACATCCAGATGTTGCTCTCTCTTTACTTTCCTGGAAGATGGGACCTTTTTTGACAATCGGCGCCAGTTGTTTTGATTATTTACAATAATCAACAAAAGTTTGGTTCGAAGGAGTCAAAGGAGGTATAAAAAAAAAGTCAGCTCTTCTTATTAATGTATCTTTTTGATTCACAAATTCATTTGTGTTTTCACTGATCTCCTTTCAGTGAAAACTTTCAGTGAAAACTTTCACTCCTTTCAGTGACTGAAAAAAAAAAATCAAGGTCACTGGTAAGTGGGGTTACATGTAAATTTGTTGATGACAATTAAAAAGCTTATCTCTCGATTTCAAGGAAAACTTAGTTACACAAAAGATCTGTTTGTCATATTGTGAAAGCTTACTGTTAATTCCATCTGTAAGTTTTAATTTACTCTCTTTTATCAGCACAAGAAAAGAAGCTGCACTAATGCAGACTGTAATGGGCAAACCCCTAAAATTGTTTTGATTTCCATTCACCAAGTAACAGGGGTTTTAGTAAAGGCTGGTTTGAGGCAGTCTACTGCCATCTTTTTTTAGATCTCCTCCCACTGTCTCTTTAGCTTGCAGGTGGGCTCTCATGTTTTGGTTTTTGTCTTTTGGCTCCTTTTCTAGGCACAGCCCCCTATTACATTATCAGCGGCCCCAATATGAAAAATTCATTGAAACCCTGCAAATCCCCCAAACTTCTTTCTCTTTCAGAACCAAAACAAAAACGGGATTCATGGTCTGATTAGCTCAGTTTTCACTTTTATCTGAATTTATGATCATACTCTCGGCTTCACATTTTAAAAAATAACAACAAATGATCTATGACTTATTTTTGGTAGACTTCCAATCCAAATGGGAATGTTTGGATGTGGAAATATTTTGTAGTGAAGAGTGCACATGTAAGCAGGGCATCCTGCTAGGCATGCAGGCTTTTCCTGGACTCAAGAACCCACACTCAAATCTTCCTTTTTGGGCCCAACTGGCTAGCCCACTTTAATGAAAAGATTAACTGATAAGAGAAAACATTACATACAAACCAGGAAACAGCACCTAGCAGGATCAGTAATTTCCCTGCACAGCACCATTTCATTTCTAAGGCTCTGCACAAGTATCTTAACCTTTCAAACAATGAGTATCTTAACCTATTAATAGAGCTGGAAGGATATCAATTCAAATGGAAATAATGAAAGTAAACAAAGCCAAGCTGATAAGCCGGGTAAAAGTGGGTATTAATAAAGTATTAGTTAGAATTCTCGAGATGTCTCTTTGCAATTACTTTGTCCAGTTCAAATTGGAATTTGTGGCAGTGAGATTTTGCAGAGGGTGAGAAATTGATGATCCCACACAACACCCAGGCAGTGACAGGAGTACCAGTGGTATGAGGTGGGCACTGCCATAACTATACCATCCACATGTGCCAATCAGTTTGACACTACAACATCAACACCCCCACCCCACCACCCAGGCAACCCATTGAGCATTTGAACAAACCAATCTTCAAAAGTTCAAATGCCCAGGGGTCACCTAGAGGAGGGTGGGTTTAAGCTTTGAGTTGTTCAACACATTTCTTCCCTAGAACAGCTGGTCAAAGAAAGCATACCAAAGGCTGAGAAATTTCCAAGTAATCTCATAGTCAAAGGTAAGTAGCCCTGTTGCTGAAGATTTAATTGAAAGTTAAAGAGGCAACCAGATATTGACTGAAAATGGAGACAGTACTAAGCAGAAAATAATATGAAGAACAGAGTCAGTGCTTTGGTAACCTTTAGAAAAACCAATGGTATAGATTTAGACATACAAATCCAATTATCAAGACAAACTGATCAGTTTCACAAATAGATTCCATGTTGCCCTGCGCCGGTTCAATAATTGATAACAGATGATGTCAAAATGTCCATGGCAAGAACAAAAAGTGGTACACAAGGCAAAGCCAAGTGTGACACTGATGTACTCACCAAGTTTTGGTGTCTTTGTGATTATTATTGAAACCAATGGCAACATGAAATCTATTTGTTTTTTACAGTTAAGAAAAAAAGAAATTATGGTTATGTCATCTATGGTTGTCTTAAAATAGATCATAGAAACCAATCAAAATGGGTGCATAATCAAGCTTATTGTATAATGCAATTTGGAAAAAGAGAGAATGCCTAAATGTGTGATTGCAGACTTCAACCCAACTAGCTTGAGGACAAAGTTACTTAAACAGACACCACAACAACATATCAACAAACAACATAACAAGTACGTGGGAATTAAGACCAAGTTCTCCCTAGCAAATGGCTATATATTAATGTTGAGGAAGTCTTACCAATCAAATAGCTTTTTGGTGGAGCAGCTGTCACCAATCAATTGTTCCCTTGCAATTTGAGCGATGCATGGTACCCTCCAACTTTGCATGATAAAAAAACACAACAGGTAAATAGTTACCACAAAAATGAAGGGTTATCATCAAAACAGTAACGCCAAATGTGCCTCATTTTCATCAAATATTAATGCATACTTCACTAAATGCTTTTAAAATCTTACTCAGAGTGGTGTTTCAGTTAACCATTGCAGTTTGACTGTAGTTATAAAATAGGATCTATTTGTTCAATTGGTAAACTTGTAATTGTTGTCGTTAGTTGTCTGTTTCCTTCTGGTTTTTTTTTTTTTTTTCTTTTTGTCAAAGCAGTAATTTGTAACTGCAGAATTGCGAAACCGTTGTACCTGTGTTGCATTGAGTCATTCTTACCAAATGTACGTGCAGAAGTAATTGTCTAGCCAAGATATCCTCCGTTTGTAGAAACTCAAAGACAAAAATAATGTTGAGCAAAAAACCTCAGCGAAAAATGTTAAATCCCAGCCTAAGTTATCTGATGGCGGAGGTATGCGTACTTCATTTTCCCCGTAATTAAATTGTACCCTGCGACTCTTTCCAAAAATTGACAACGAAAGGTGCGTCTATAAACACAGTTTTCCGAGAGCAAAGCCCACGGAAAACTTTGAGCTTTGAGGAACAGATACCAGATGTCCAAGGCCAAACAAACTAGCATACTTCACACAAAATAGGGGCTACTGTATTTATCATCCTTCGAATATTTCGCAACACCCGTGAACATTGTTTACGAACAGCTTACCATTTGCTGCGCAAGATGTTTTCTTTCGAGTGTTCTCTGGTACGCTTTAATGAACAAAAAAATGTTTTCCTTCTTCTGTAACGACCACAAAACGCTCTCTCATCGTGAAATAAATTTTAAACGAGGAGGGGAACATCCTCCCATAGCTAGGGGATATTCGCTCATGTGACGAGTTTAAACCCATCCTGCGTGAGAATAAATATCTTGGGGATCATAAGGTCAGTTCTGGCTATCAGTCAAGTTACTGATGTATAGAGACTAAATAAATGTGAGACATTTATCGGATTACAGCATGGTTGAGGAAAAAGTTGGGGATACAGGATAATTACTTATGGGGATACAGGATACAGCCTGCAAAAGGTCAGCTGTAGATCAAAATAAGAATTTGAATTTTCAGCACAATTTCCACTAGCATAATATTTGTGACCCAGGCTGGCAATAAAGATGGTGGATAAGTAAATATTATATCCAAGTAGGAGTAAATTTAATTTATTAGCTTCGCTGACAGGCAGGGATCCCGCAACAGCTTGCACCAATTACTGTGGGCCCTAGTACCCACCCATCCCACCCCAGGGGAGGACATCCATCACACAGTGATCTCGTGCGTGGGAAATTAACGTCTCCTACCCCAACCCTGCAGGAGACAGGACCTACGGTTTATTTGTCCTTATCCGAGAAGACTAGAATGTCTATCAGATGCTTAGAATACAAAGAAGGGCAAAGAGCTCATACCATAAACAAATAAACACTTTAATAAACATAGACAAAATTTACAAATAAAAGCATTCAGCAAAAAAGTGGATGACTAGTAGTACAACAGGAGTTTTTGTTGGCAAAGAGATGTAAAACAAGAAAACCCTTACTTATGGCCTAGTAAGTGTTTAATGGCTATTAGCCATTGTTGAATGACAATCTAGCAGCTATTTTTGTTTGTCATACACATCATAACACCACAGAAGAGAGTCAAGAGCCTGCTGGACAAGAACTCTTTTGTTAAACCAGATGATTAAATCAATAAGGCAATAGAATGGTGTATGATTGAACTTTGTGACCTCTGATTTGAAAAATGCAAAATGTACTTGATTACAGGCTGGGGTTCTGATGAAAGTTACATGAATTGTAAAAAAGATCTTTTTTGAGCAGAGAGAAAAGTACAAACTCCAACCCCAGTATAGTGTCCGATTGGAGCACGCCAATTAGTTAGTATCACTGTCATAGTCACCCGCGCTGACAGGCTTCTTCTTATAGCTCCTCGACTTTTTCTTAGAACGTCGGCTTGAGCTATCTTCTCTCTCACCTCTCCTTTCACCATCTGATGGATTCTCATCTTCTTCTTGTTCCTCTGAATGTTTTTTTCTTTTCTTCTTGCTCCTATCATAATCAGAACCTTCACTATCTTTTGCTTCTGTACTGCCATGTCTTTTACTTCTTTTCTCTCTCTCCCTTCCTTGATCACTATCTGCTGAAATGGTCAACAGAGTATTTACATTCAATAAGTGAACTTATAGAAATGGTGGGAAGGAAACCTGTAAAATACCCACAGCAATTCAATAGTTTGATGACTTTCTTTAAAGAATCCAGGATCGATAACAATGCCAGAGTAACCTACCTGGATAAGCTCTTTCCTTGTCACTTTCCTCTTCAGCACTTTGAGAGCTGCTGTACTTTTTCTCCCTCACTTTTCGCTCTTTTTTCTTTTTATGATGAGTTCTGTTGACAAAGACATTTTATTACCAGTTTTGTGATGAAATATTATCCAGTTTCTTTGTTATTTAGCACAATGTACTGTTTTCTTTTTTCTAGTTTGACAACATATCACTCAGTAGGACTCAACAAAGTGTCAAATTTCTTTTCTATTGAGTTTCACATTTGTTCCCAGAAAAAACACAAAGTTTTCAGCAATCCTACTTCTTTGTTTCTAAGTAAAAATCTCTGGCCTTTATAAAAAAAAAAAGGACTGCAAAAAAAAGTACCTTTCAAAGAAATAAAATAAATAAATATTAGTCTTAAAATAGGGTTGCCAAGCAGCAAATTGTTACCTAAAATGAGAACCTGACTTATGTGTAATACTTTTTAAAAGAAACTGATGTGGTGTCATATTCTCAAAAAAAGGGAGACTGACTTGAGTTCAGGTGAAAGTTAACCGAGTTTAACTGAAAGTGAACAGAAGAATGATTATGATAACTTACTTTGAAGAGCTTCTCTTTGGAGATGGTGAGATAGACTGACTTTTTGACCTTTCCCTTTCTCGTTCCCTTGCTCTTTCTTTCTCTTTCTCTTTCTCTCGCTCTTTCTCGCGTTCTTTCTGCCTTTCTTTTTCCTTTTCTTTGTCCCTTTCACGCTCTTTTTCCCTTTGCTTCTCTTTTTCTCTCTGTCGTTCTTTTTCCTTTCTTCGTTCTCTTTCTTTTTCTGTTTCTCTTGTTTTCTCTTTGTCTTTTGATCTAGTTTTTTCACTCCTCTCTTCTGATTTCTCTCGGCTTTTCTCCTTCGAACTCTCAGGTTTATCAACAGCCTCTGCTTTTTCCTTTGGTGCTTTCTTTTCTTTTGACACTGATCTTTCACGAGAATCAGTTCTCTTCCTTTCTTTAGACCTGCCACGTGACTGCTCTCGTGACCTAGAACGTCGCTCTCTAGACCTTGAACGCCTACCTCTCCTTCTCTCCCTTCAGAGTGAGGAATCAGAGTGAGGAAAAAATCAGTTACATAAAGCTTATTAGCCATTCCTTTGCTAAAGAGAAAGACCAGGGCTCAACACTAATGGTAGCCTGCTAGCCACAGACTAGTAGAAATTCAGTTTTAGCAAGTGATTTTCAATTTCCACTAGCCAGTTGGGCTAGTAAACAAACTGAAATTGTCGTAACATCTAAAAACATCTACTATGTCCCTAGCCACTTGGCTAGTAATTTGAAAAGTTAGTGTCGAGCCCTGAAGACACTTGCATATGGGAAATTTAAGAAGTAACAAGGTATCAAGTGTTATTCTTAAAGACCTATCTAACATACCTGCTTCGAGAACGACGAGAATTTCTGTTTCTTGAGGTCGAACGGGATGAACGACGCCTGTCCCTGTATCTATCCCTGGGAAGGACAGAGGAAATTTATTAGTTTGCACGGTGAAGACAGATACAGAGAATTTCACCTGAAAAGATGGCTGTTTATTAGTTGTCTCTTTAATTAAAAGCTGAAAAGAGTGTCCAACCAAAATATATGTTTTTGTGTGTCTCTCATACCATCAAAATGTTCCTGATAAATTTTGCAAAAACCTTGAACAATATCTCATCCAAAAAATTTCCCCTGCCTGGATGCATCATGCATTGATGACAGACCCAGCCAGCAAAGCATTTTGACGAAGCAAGGAAATTACATCAAATGTTTGGTTTGAAGAAATTTAGTCAACTTCTTCTGGCCAACCATGGTGAAATTTGTTTCACATAAAGGTAATAGAAACAAAAAAAACTGGTAATTAAAAGTTGAGCACAAAAAAGCCTTAAATTCCCTGAAAGACACGCAATCTACCTTTACCTTGAGGGTGAGCGGGTACGTGATCTTCTTCTTCGACGGGAGCTTGACCCAGATCGAGACCTTCTTCTTCTGGACCTGAGGAAAGATTACCACATTTTTATGGCTAATGCCTGCTAAGGTCCCAAAGCCATAATGTTGTCCTATTGAGTGAGGGAGTGTAACAATAGAATATGAAGGACCTCTCAGCCCACAAAGAAACCTGTCAAGTTTAGTCTACCAACTCAATATTCCTAGCTCTAGGCATTTGTTTTTTTGCCAACATCTTCTGTTGTTCTACACTTAGTGAAAGCACTGGGAATTAGCGTATGATTAAAATGTTTCCCAGTGCTACTTATCGTTTGTTTCAGAATATTAAAGAACAAGATAATCATCCCACAATCATTTTAGGACGGTGCACAAAAAAAAAACAAACAGGATTGTCTTAAAAGGTGGGATTGGTGCATCATGAAAACTTAGATGAAAATTTTACTGTTCATTTCGATCAGCAACAAATGCTTAGAAGAGCCCCTAAATTTGCGAAGTGAGCATGGTCTGAAATACAACACCTTGAATTAGGGTGACATTATGGTGGAAAGGCAGAATATCCTACAATGTGGAATGCCTTGTTGTATGGAACAAAAGTCTCACAAAAATGAAATTGCAATGAAAGTAGAAAATAACTTATAATTAACAAGCAAAATTAAAATTAAACTTATGAGAGGCCTAGTTTTATCATTGTTGTACAAAAAATGTAATTGCAATGAAATAAGAAAATAATTCATAATTAACAAAATTAAAATTAAACTTAAGAGAAGCCTAGTTTTATCATTATTGGAGCCTAGAATTGTCTTTATCATGAGGAACAGGGTACTCATAAAAAGGTGGGAAGCAGCAGCAGTAGCCTTAACTGTATTTTTTTTTGAAGAAGACAAATTGCTGGAGGTAAGAAATGCCCATTTGAATTCCAAAAATGATTATGTTGTAATATTTAACAACTATTCACCGAAGTGGAAGTGGTTAGTGGTGGATATTTATTGAGTCGCGAAGCGGCGAGGTAAATATCCACCGCTAACCACCGACACTGAGGTAAATAGTTGTTTTAGTACATACTAAAACAGTGAGATAATATACACCACCAAAAATTTATTTTAATTCATACATTCCAGCAACGATTCCAACATTTTCCCGTGCGCAACAATCCAACGCAGCTCGGATCGCAGTAAGTGAATTTTTGTTGTAAAAACTGCCGTCACCTTTTATCGCTGACAGATAAAAATTTCCAAAGATATTTGTTTAGCTCTGGTGGCGACATTTCTTCAAATGGTGTTGCAAACTCTTTCTGTATTTGAAACTATTCTGTAAAAAATACCATTCAACTTTGATTTTCAAGTGAACAAGTGAGGTTATGCAAGATTAATTTGCATTTGTAAACAAAGTCTTTTTCATTGGTTTTTATCGATAAACTCCCGGTTACCATTACCTTTAAACACGGCCAAACCAAATTTAGTCGCTTTCTCTGTGTTTTCAAGGACTGCTTCGTCTTTATTTGAGTGATTTATTCGCTTGTCACGGATGCAAACCGGCACACCATTTTTTCCCCGAGTTGCTCGGAGGTAAATAGCAAAGGATGTTCGGAGTCTGACTAGCCAATCAGAGCGCGCCTTCAACGCTATCCACTGTTTTAGTATATACTAGATACAGATATACTTATATACTACATACTGTACCAAGGTCCTTCAACAAATGATTAACCGTTACAAAAGTATTTCGTAAACACAAATCAGGATTACAATCAAATATTAAGCTGACAGAGGAAGGGGTTGAAATTTCTAGAGGACCTCTGGAAAAAGGCAAGACAAAATTTTTTGATGCAAGTGATAATTATGTTACCTTGAATGAGATCTTCTTCTGGATGGTGATCTGGAGCGAGACTTTGACCTTTCATCTAACAAAAAAGGCAACTAAAGTGAAGTCATTGCAAACAAAAAATTTGTCAAGAAAAGCATGTATGAAAAGATCACTCAGTCACTTGCATGTTATGAAAAGTCAGTGAGAGTAATTTTGTTTGTAATATAACAAATGATACATCTCATGGCTGCATGTTTAGAGTGCTGCTTCTTTTCAAAACACAATCCATAGATTATCTGAATTTTTACTCGAGTCTCTTGAACCAATCGGTGATAAGGATCAAACATACAAATACACAATTGTTTCTACTGTGAAAGAGCTAAACCTAAAGAATGTATAGCACACAATTTTTTAAATTGTTAACATGTTAAATCCCAGAGTTGATCAACTTTTGACTTTTCTTAATATTAACAAGACACAAAAAAGAGGTAACGAGAGTAACAAACATAAGGCAAAGGGTGTTATCTTATGTACTGATTGAAATATAAGAAAATGCATGACAGCTAGAAGCAAGAATTACTCACCAGACTGGGAGTAAAAGGGTAAAGATTGTTAAGATTTGGCAGAGGAAATCATTTAGAAACAGGGAGAAAGTAATTAATACAGTCACAGAATTATAATAGCTGATATACCAACCAGGATCAATCTCATCTTCGATAATTGAGGATGCTTCTTTAACACGTCGCATAGCCTTATCGATATCTTTGCGGTCTTTATCTGATGATTTAGAAGCTGGCTTAACGATTGCATTCTTTGAGTGGTTGACTCTTTAAAAGAAAATATGGAATAAATAAAGTTGATGATCATACACTGTGAGCATTCAAGATCATTGTATTAATTCAATTAAAGAGCAATAAATACAATTTAGGAGCTTACTTGAGTGGTCTGCCACCAAATATCACTCCATTGTACTGCAAAGCTGTGTTCACTGCACTAGGTTCTGAGAACTCAACAAATGCAAACCTATGATCCAATGGAATGAAAACACAGTTATTCATTCATGTATGTTTACTCATGATTCAGTAAGTATCAAAATTTCTGGCACACATCATTGACAATAAACACAAGTATAGTCCTAACTATTCCATTCTGGGTCAACAACATACTGTGGGAAAAGTAAGTCCCTTTAGCAATTACTCACAACAACAAAAAGCAAAATAAGGTGGGTGAAAAAAGATCAACTAAAGACAGTGGTTAGAAAAGGGCTGAGACAGACTACATGTAAAAAAAAAAGTATTAACAGTTATTTAATCAAATATGTTTTGCTAAATTGCAGTTGAAGATTTTATCTTCCTTCATGTTTACTTCCTGAAAATGTTGATCTAGAAGAGTCTCAGAACCTCACAAACCAAATTCCAGTATACCCTTACAATAAGTGTTTCCTATGTTTGAAATTATTTTACATCCCTATGCCACATAAAGACTGCTTAGAATGACCATCTACATGTACAGGTAGTTGTTAAAAGCACCATTATCATTATGCTTACCTGGTGGGTTGAGTATCATCCCCAGACATTCTCACATATCGGATCTCACCACAGCCTGAGAAGAACGCCATGAGTTGTTCTGCAGACAGCTATGGTAAAAAAAGAGAGATACAACTTTATTCAACATAACATGTCTTGCAGTGTAACTAAAACTCTAGTTCAAGAGTTGTTTCTTTTGGGCTAAAAAGTTTTAAATTTAGGTGGTAATCTATGAAGCATTTTGTTTCAAAGTACCAGTCAATGGTAAGCTAAAAGTCCTTCTTAGAATTCCATTCTTGACACTCCAGTTGTTTTGAAAAGGGAGTTTGAAGATGCTTGATGAATCTTTTTTATGGTGACTTTGATGAGCAATTTCAGCTCAAAAAAAATTTATTTTCATAAACGGCTAAGATGGCTGAAAATTTTTTGTTGTTGTTGCTTTTTTTTCCCAAAAGACTCAACAGCTACTAAAGCAGCAACAGCAGATGAAGTGTATACTCTTTCAAAATCTTTTCATAACCACCACCACATTGCAGTAACACATACAAACAGTCCAAATGGACACCAAGCTCATTATTTAAATCCTACATGACCTTCATTTAAAGAGTAAGCACTGATAGTGGAACATGTTAAATATTGCTACAATTTTAAATCCACTCTTTCTGCTCTTACCGTGGTATCCAAGTTTCCAACATAAACAGTTCTTCTAATTTCATCAATTTTGCTAGGGTCCACATTATTAAGGGGAGGTGGAGGTGGTAATGGAGCAGGTACAGTTAGAGCTGTGGCAAGCTATTACACACCAGGAAATAATAACAATAATATCTTTGTCAAGTCAAAAAATACACTAAATAAAATAAAATATTATTCAAACTGGCTTGATTTGCAATTCCCAATGTTACAGATATTTAACAGTCATAATCCCTTCAAAATGAAAACATCACAAACTGTTTTCAATTCAGTGTAACCAGAAATCATGTGGAGAAACCATACGTTCAGGAAAAATGGTTTATCTCTACAGAATGAATTAAAATCATCTTAACTGAATACAGCACAAATTGACAGTTCAATTAACTATTCTAACACCTGCATGTTTATTTGTTAAACAGTTCAGTGTTTAGATGTGCTGTGTGGACATTATCCAATATTCCCTACAGTGAAACCTACATCAACAAACTAAACAATTTGCTTTAACTTACCCCAGGAATAACTGTAGAAACTACTCCTGGAACAATTGGAACCTAAATAGAAGTAGAATCTGATTATGATCTCAAAGCTAATTATTTTTCCTTGTAATAAATGACTAGACAATAACCCAGCTGAGGCCTATATTTCACATTACACCCACTGATTCAAAAGTTATTCAGATGCTGACCCACATTAGAGATTTGTTTGAGGTATCAGATATTAAACTAGTGAAGCCTTGTGATCACGCCTGTTATTTTAACACAAACATATTTGAGAGCCTCATAGTGAAAAGCGCACTTGTTGAGCCCACTTTCATTGGATATAATTTTTCACCAACCAGTTCATAATTTCACAAAACTGTCCCAATAACAAGGGTGAGGTGGAAAGGCTTTACCTGTGCTGGCATGGGTGGGGTGGGGAGTAATCCTCCTGATGATCCCGTAAAACCTCCAGCAACTGCACTGGCAGGTGCTGCCAGTTGAACTGCTTTAGACTCATCTGGTATTGTTCCTATTTAAAATTAGTAAACATTTATTTAATGAACACTACACAGTTTTCTTTGATCACTGTTAAGGTACAGTATACATTATGTTACTGGTAGCTTCAATACCAGTAGAGCAAAACAACGTCAAAGTAAAAGGCCAATTTCATATCATCGCCATAGGATTGTATTAACCCAGCCGACTCCCAGAGACACTTCACATAACTTTAACTTGTCACAATATTTACACATTACCCAACCTAGCGATGATGAGAGTAGATACTTCTTAATAACTGGCCATCATTTCAACATGATGCTATGAAACAGATTTTTGAAGTTGAAGAGTTTATATCAGAACACTCTTCCTTTGGGTTTTGTACTTACTTCCTACACAGTCTTAGCAGCCAGCCTGAGATTTCCTCGGCTACTCAATAATAGAAAACAAAGAAACAAGACAAAGACACAAACTTAGGCAAAAGAAAAAACTACAGATTACAAGAACTTACTAAAGCGGTGTGACAAGAATACAATATTTTAAACCTCGCAGCACAATTCTTATCAAATTGGGTGCTAAGCTAATACACTGTTATTGTCTACATTAAAGTTAAGGAAAACACTCAACCACTAAAACAAATTGATTATTTATTCATATCATTTATTCACTGTTTATGTTTGATGAATGGAATGGAAAAAAAAATTACCCAGATCCAACTTTTTTAGACTTGTACGGAATTTGTTAAAGACCCCTTTAAAAATATTTTTCAAAATGAATTGACCACTGAATTACAATTAAAACGTCAAGTGGAAATTCATTTAGTATCAGGGATTGGGAATATGAAGCAAATTCTCCATTGCATACCAGATCTGCAAGACATAATTCTCTTGAATGCATGAGCCAGTAGAGCAAAAGCAATATCATTTGTTATCTTCCACAACTCAAAAGTGCTTATTTCTTCTAATTGAAAGAGAAATAATTTTCTCATATCTTAATCAATTTCATTTCATTTAAAGTTCTTCCTTCTCTTTTTGCTGTTATGATAATTTTTTTGTTCACATGTCTTTTCCATTTTGGTGACAATTCTGATATAGAGTAATTAACCTCCAGAACTCTTTCCCTAAGCTTCCCTGTTCCGAGGCCTCTGTTATTCACTTTCTTGTGAGCTCACACGTACATGCTATTGTACTGTAGCTATAGAAAGAACACCTTACATTAAACCAGTCCTTACCATCCTGAACTGGTACAACTATCAGTGCTCTGTCAATGAAGACTGTGTTTGTGAGATGCTGAGCCACATGAACACTGGAGGGATCTGTGAACTTCACAAAGCAAACCCGCGTAGCTGTTCCAAGATGAATCATTGGATCCCTGGTATAGACAAAAAATCCGTACCATGAAAAGAAACTAAATCGTGAGAAACATTGCAAGATATATATGGTTACATAATGTACATCACAAAGCAAATAAGGTAATGTACATTATATTCCAAAATAAATAAGGTAATGTACAGTAAAACCCTGAAGTTAACAGGAGTAGAAAACCTAAGAGGCATCATAGTTATTTTCATCCTTCCATGAGGCACCAAAAATTTTGTGTGAGTTTTTGTTTACTAATTGACAATTTTTCATGTTCCAGGTAAACTTGCTTTTGCCATTTGGACAGAGGGGTTTTTCTTGCTGGGAATTAATTTTTGAGATTTTCAAGAAGTTGCAAATAAATGCATTGATAACACTTTCATTTTTTAGTTAAGGAAATGCAATCAAAAATACAAATTTAAAAACAAGTTTTGACGTTAGGGTTAGGGTTCATCTACAAGGATTTTTTTCCTTTTTTGCAGATTGCTAGAAAACTGCAAGAACCAAAAAAATTAAAGTGCCACTACGATGAAAGTTTTTGTCTCTGGTTTTGACATTTTTTGCCGCCAATCAAGTTAATATGGTCAGAATTGTACTATGCGATAGTTTTAAGGTCGATGGAAGCGAAATATGCCTTGATATAGCTGGCCGAAGTTCACTTGAAAAACCCGTCCGCCATTACTCAGCTCGCAACCGAGAGCCAGCGACTGAACTGAAAAGCGGTTTTACGCATGAGTTGGCCTGTGACGTCATAAGCGCACTTTCGCATCGTGCTTTGTGTGTTGTGAGAGATTCCACAGTGGAAATTCTAGGCGTTTTATAAGATTTATTCTTCCTCGAATTCTTCTTCCAAATGGCGTACAAATTTAGCCATGTTTTTTGGGTCGAGCTGCGCATATGACGTCACTTCCAAAAGGCTCCAACTAGTGCCAACTCTTTTTGCCACACTCAGCCATTTTTGAATTGAGTAATGGCGGGCGACCAAGAACGAAAAACAAGGTTGAAATAGTCATACTTCCCGTGAGAATTTTGTGATTAAACTTGGCATGGTAAGTGTTTCTTACTTCTAGTTTCCAGAAGTGAAAAGAAAAGGCAATGCGAAATTTTGATCATAGTGGCACTTTAAGAACCCACAAAAAATTTGGTGGTTTGCAAACAAAAATTTGGTGGTTTGGAGACACAGTTAACAAAAATGAAAGGAACAAATGTTGGTGGACGAACAAAAGAAGCTAATGAGATATCTCTTGTTTACGTCCACCGACATGGCGGCAATGATGTAACGTGCAAACCACCTATATAAAGTTAATTTCCAACTTGTCCTAGTTTAAGGAAAGGTCTTCTATGAAAAAGTTAACTAGATCTTCAAAATAAAACTACAAATAAACAATTGATTTCTACAATGGAGAAGAGATTGAGTAACTTTCACCTGAGAAAATAATAATTGGATTTTCTAATGAAAGATAGTTGCATTTAGTGATAAGTTGCGAAAGAATCTGCATATTATTTATTATACATAACATCTCCAGAGCAAGCATGGTTTTCCTCGTATAGTTAGCTGCATGTAGGTCACGTTACGAGGTCTTGATCGATGAAGAACAGAAAAAGAAGCACTCACTTTAATGAAAACGTTTGTGGGCATGACTAATTTAAACTTACTCAGGAAACAGATGCATCTCCTCGATTTCACCAAGAAATCCAAACAGAGTTTTCATTTGATCAACTGTTGCGTTCTGAGCGATATTCGTCACCTGGATAACCCTTGTGCTGGGCTTCTCCATTCCTGTCGTCATGTTTTCTGTTCCCAATTGGTATCTGCAACAAAGACGAAGCAGGATTCCACATTCAGCCAGGCGTTCTTTGATACCTTTTTATAATTCCGCATGCTGCACGAAAGGGAAAGGCTTGGTTACAAAGCAGAACGAGCACGCACCCATTTCTCAGGATACCACTGACATTTTGCCATCTGCCATAACTGCGGCTCAACAAACTAAACTGACAAATACTGAACAATAGCTACCGATATAACTTCCTTGTCCTTGATTTTATAGACTAAGAGTAGTCCCTTCTTTTCTGCGAAGTCCGTCGCGCGATTAAAACAAAATCAGCGAGTTGTGAGGAGCTCGTTCGAGCGCCTTACCCCCAGAGCTCCCGGAAGCGCGCTAACATTAATTTTTTTTGCTGATTTTTTTTTACTCTCGCAACGGACCTCGCCGAAAAGGAGGGACTGTTCGTAGTCTTTTGGTTTTATGGACACCGCTCTGCAGCGCAATGCAATTTTGAACACTCCTCAAGTCAGGAAACTTTCAGAAATGCTGTTTTCGTCAAGATCGATGGTCACTAATTTTTCTTCTCAGCTGGCAAATTGTGATAAGATTCCTTTACAAGAAAGAACAAGCCTCTAAAATTAACCTTACACTCAGAGTTTGGCTTTGTCACACAGTTGGTGGTAGTACTCTCACAGCCGACCGAATGAGTGTGTCTAATTGAGGGAAACGTGTCTTGATGCAGTCGACGCAGTAAGTGTTTGGCGGGCCGACCTCCACCAAAAAGAAGCTTTGAGGCAACTTTCTGACACCTCTTCTTATCAAAAAGTTGAAAAAGATCTCACACAAAAAAAAATCATTGTAGAAAACACGATTAACGATCTTATAAACAAGAATTGCCGGCCACTGCAAAAAGTCTCACCATCATCGCCCCTAGAGCTTCTTCCACAAACCTAACAACTCAGGAGTAGACCAATCGTCTCGGCTTGCATTTGTCCCACCGAACTTATTCCCAGCTATTTAGACAAAATTATGGCTCATCAAAACTTAACCATCATATATTAAAGACAACCATCTGGCGTCTCCACGGAAACTGCAAAGAATACTGAATAATTACAGCCCAACGACTCACAGGACTATAAAAATATCTAGATTGGGTATATAGTGTAATTCCTCTTAACGAAAATGTTCATGTTGATCACGGTTATTTACAGACGGTTCACTTAGTCCCAAAAAGACCCAAGATAATGCCGAAAACTTATTTTATCTGAACAACGCACTCTCAGGGTCGTCTCTGTGTCTTTCTACAGTCGAGCTTGGCAATGCGTATTGGAAGCGGAGGAACAAGCCAGGGCAAGTAGTAATTACCTGATGCGTACTTAGCATCGTCGATTGACACCAACGTAATACTGCATAAAAACTACACAACATGAGTCCGGATAATCGAGAGTCGGGATAATCGAGAGTCCGGATAATCGAGAGTCCGGATAATCGAAAATGTGAATATTAATAAGATAGAAATGTAAACAAAAGGTATACAGCAAAGAAAACATCATTTTAATTGTGATAGCTACACAGCCTGTATGTATGGGGATAATCGAGAGTCCGGATAATCGAGAGTCCGGATAATCGAGAGTCGGGATAATCGAGAGTCGGGATAATCGAGAGTCCGGATAATCGAGAGTCCGGATAATCGAAAATGTGAATATTAATAAGATAGAAATGTAAACAAAAGGTATACAGCGAAGAAAACATCATTTTAATTGTGATAGCTACACAGCCTGTATGTATTAACAAATAATGCATCAGAATGTTTCTTTGTCTCGTCGCACTTGCGAATTTTGAAAAGCGCACGGGATAATACGCTGTTTTAACAGTCTTTTGAAAGGATTAGTGGGCTTTTTGCGACTCTGAGTTTTCAAGATCACAACCAATTAATATTCATGAAAAATTGGGACCAGAGAGAAAAGTCCGGATAATCGAGGTTCGACTGTACCAGCTTTTTGTTCTAACGTCTGCTAACTCCGCCAACAACAAACCACCTTCCACTACTATTGCCAAAAAGCCTAGCGCTTATATTATCAATCGCCGAGCACGCGAGTTCAATGTTTGAAATCAATTTTCCAAAGCCAGTTTCCAACTCACGTGGAGCACAAGCCAGAACTTGGTTTTCTCCAAAACGTACGGCCAAAATGCTAATTTGATACTATACCACACTATTTACTGATCAGAAAATTGCATGGATTTGCAAAAACAAGCCTATTTCTTTAAAAAATTCTATGCTATTTTCTCTGTATTTTCAATTTAGCCGATCGATTTGAGACAAATACGGAAGGAGAATTTTTCCACTTGTTGGGATATCGCGTTAAGAAAATGACCGAGCCCTTGAACTTTTTGATTAGCTCTGAGTCTGTAAGTAATCATAACTGTCTGACCTGTTTACCACTGTGTGCGTGTGTGGGGGGAAATTTTCCTATTGCCTCAGTGACCTTAAAAACGTTATGCCATGGAGCTTATTGAAATAATTCAGAAGCTTTTGGATCTTAAGGGACTGGATAGATATGGCAAACAGTAAATTATATTGAAGAAAGGAAGCAAGAAACAAGAGGCTCGACTTGCGATAACTAGGAGGCGACGCTCTTCCGTTCATAAATCAAACCCGCCGACCGAGGATAGACCTAAGGGTTATGATATCATTGACTTAGAGAACTGAAAAAGTTTGAACGGTAATAATAATAATAATAATAATTTAATATTTATATTGCGCAAATTAACATGTGGAGATGATCAAATGCGCATCACAACACTTTTCGGGGGACTGGCCGGACTGCATCAGCAGTTTACCAACAATCGAAGGAAACTTATTTGAAAATGCCCCCTCCCCCTCCCCCTCCAGTTCCCAGTAACGGTAACTGTAGATCTGGCTGCTATTGATTGGCCGAAGAGAAAAGAGACAAAAGAGAGCAGTTTTTAAAAATATTTTATGACTCTGGTTTTGAGTACTAGATAAATAAATCAACTGCGGGTAATCAAGGATAAACGCACATATTATTTAACTTATATGTAAGAGATACACAGCTCCTCCGCGAGGGGAACATTCTAAATAGTTCCATTTCTAGCCTCTTTCCCTTCTCCAGTGTGTTCTCTCTTCATTGTCGAGTCGTGTTCGACGCGGTAAGGAGCCAATTTTGTTTCGCAAGCTTTCCTGGAAAGGCTCTAAGGCAACTGTCTCATTTCTTCAAAATCACTTCCATTTGTGAAATTTCATTGAAAAAAAATTGTTCATTCTAACGAATGATAAGACAAATTACTCAGTTGGCTAATTTCTTTAATTTTCAGGGAAAGTCAGAAGATTTCCCCCTAAAAGGTGTAGAATAGTCTTGAATGTTCTCTACTATATGAAATGCTTAAGAATAACGATACAAATACAGAAACATCCATCAATAGGTGCTTTGAACTAAGTGTCTAACACTTTGAACTCAGAGCAGTACCAAACAAGGAATTTCACAACCACCACCTCAGCCACATTTTAAAGAAGGAAATTCTTAGTACTCAAGTTAAATTTTGTTGCCAATTGGATACCAAATTTATGTGGCTTTGATGAAAACGGTCTTCTTCACGCTTTTTAACTTGACCATTGTAATTCCAAAATAAACTCAGATATAATCTTTAGCCTAGGCGTCCAACAGATTTTTGCATAAAGTATATTAAATACAATGAACAATGCTTGTTTCGTGTCAAGCAGCTTACATAATTACTATCCTTTATCATTTCGCGTCGTATGAATAATGAACTATTATCATTATAGCTCTATCCATTGGATAGAGCGCTGGACTGATGTGCGGGAGGTCGAGGGTTCGAGCCCCGGCCGGACCAACACTCAAGGTCTTAAAATAATTGAGAAGAATATGCTGCCTTTCTATAACATCAAGAAATGGTTTAGATATTCTAGTCTTCTCGGATAGGGACGAATAAATGGAGGTCCCGTCTCCTGCAGAGTTAGGGGAAGGAGACGTTAATTTCCCACGCACGAGATTACTGTGTGATAGATGTCCTCCCCTGGGGTGGGATGGGTGGGTTGTTGTCTTGCGTCTCATACAGGAGCCTCTGACTCGGGCAATATGGGTAACCATGCCCCACGTAAAGACATTAAACTTTGATTACTATTACTATTATTAGTACTAGGAACAATTCTTACATCAAAAGAGACTTTCTATGTTGATGCATCCAGTAAATTCTATTGGTTAAAAAAAAAAAAAATAATAAGATAATGAGTAGGAGACAGGCCTTCAGTAGGTGACTTAAAGTGGAGGGAACAGGTGTATCTCACTTCATTGTTTACCTTAGAAAAAATTGTTAAATATTTCCCAAGGATCACGTAGCAATTGACCTTTGCTTCCTTTTAGGCTTTTTCATGTAACATCCCCTGTCAATGATACAAAAAACTTCCTAATTGAGTGACGAAAATACTAATCTTGCGTAATATATATCATTCGGACTTCTTCTCAAGAAAAGGGCCACAGTTTTTTAAACCATCCAGATTATCTATCCCCTGAGAAATTGTAGTATTTGTTCCTATTGGATAAAGGCCTTAGGTATTACATAATCTTGATTCTATTGATACCCCCAACCGCGGTCACGTTATTATCCATATATCTATCATTTTATATCAAGTTCATCAGTGTATTCTAATAAAGCAGTTGTTTAGGGCACTTGGTCTGTGCATACGTTACTCTATAGTAGTTTTACATCGAACCCTAATACACAACAGGAATAAAAATTGTTTTCCTATAAGATGATGAAGAAAAGAAATATAAATAAATTACTGATCATTCGAGTTCATGATGTCCTTGCTAACCTGACCATTCTAAAACAATAGTATATAATCCCACATGGTGTGTAAATATTAAAATGTTTATCATGAAATAAACACCCAGGCAGGTGCAGGACAGGAAACAAAGGTTTCTTTGTCACTTTTCAATCAACACTCTTCGACATTTGATTCTTAAGACATCGTTAGAGGACGCTTCTTTTCCATCAATTGAATTTGGACAGGATTTTAAGGAGTAGTTAAACATCTTTTGAAAGATGAACGTATCACCCGCTTGGAATTCAAAGTCAATCG